CCGAATGGGTCTAAACTGCGAACTAGGCGAAGCCCTGCTCAGCTTTCCCCTTAGCCTTACTGAGCGTAAACGCTTGCCTGCAATTCCAAATCAGTGGTGCTTCTACATGAAATCGCACAGCTGCTAAAATCGCGAACAGACAGTACCTAATCGCCAGGAAGTCCGAGCTCTCCGTCTCCGCACCTGGACCTGCTCTCGCGCGTGGCTTAAACCCTTTAGGCCAAAACAACGTGCGCCATGCGCCAGCAGGCATGGACCACGACGGATGTGCACGGCGCAACTTGGCACGTCTGAAGAACCCCGGGATTTTTCCGTACACCTCTTTCGTGGCGGCAGCGGCATTTTGCAAGTCGCCCTCTCGCGGCTCGCGGTTGAGACGTTCATCCAGAGAAGCATCGTATTTAGGAGCGCCAGCTGTTCAGAGGCCAGCAACATATGTACACGTACGCAGTTAGTTTCCCCTGGAGTGCGTGTCAACGCGGACGTTCGTGCAGGCAAGACCGCGGAGGGCGTACATGTACATATGTCGTTGCTCGCCCTTCTGTACAACTTTTTTCCTGAAGCCAAACAACAAAACACACACACAGAAAAAAAGAAACAAAATCCCCAGGCCCCGACAAGAAGTCTGACCACGTCTCGCAATCTGAATACATGCCGGGGGTCGAATACAGGCGCAGCTTGGGTCCGAGCGTCTTCCTGTTCAGCTTACGAGTTAATTCCCAGGAGACCGCGAACGACCGCTCGTTCCAGGACTCTTCAAGCTCTGACACCCGCAGCCCGAGGTAACGGTTTCTGCCACGTCGCGTAAAGTATCTCACAGCACGGTCGGAACGCCTACACAGAGTTCTATGCTTAGCAAGCTCACACACGTCAGTTAAACACTCCCTATATTGCTTGCTAACACAAACGAGCGTGCAACAAACGGTGAGAGGGAGTACAGTAAACAAGGCAAAAGACGAAACAGGGGGAAGGGAGAGGGAAGAGACGGAACGGGGCGTGATAGCAAGGCTCTCAGTTGCAGCTTGCGTTCGATGCGCAGCAGCAAAGCATTTGTCGTGTCTCGCGGCCTCTCGGCTTGTTTGGGCGTCGCAAGAACAAATTCGGGCTATTGGCATCACTGCGTTGTGGAACTCGAGGTACATCGAGTCCGCACTCTGCCTCGTCAGCGTCTCCGCGTCGAACGCCACCTGGCCGACCGCACGGTTCACCTCAGACAGGAAGGCATGCCCATCTTCACCAAACAGCACAGCCCGGCTCAGTGTGGTTTGATCCCACCTTACATGATCTTTATTCGGCGGAAAGAAAGGCCTAATCTGCAGAACAGCCACAACAGGATGATCATCTCTTCGCGTCCTCGTGTTGATGAGCTGCAGCGCCTCCAGCCCGTGCCCAAAGTCTGCATACAGTAGCACACCCGCCCACATCTCTTGTACTGCATATGGAATCCACTCTGGCGGTTGAAATCCCATCCCCATGATAGTAAGACGGGCTGCATGCAACAAAAGTGTTCACCGCGCACAGATGGTGCTCCTCCAGCGTCTCTCTGAAGTAGCCTCCATGGGTATTCTCCTGATCAACACTCTGTGTCCCCAGCGCCCCACCCAACTCGCTGCCAACCCTAGCGCTCGCGTCCAACAGCATGATGGGCACCGTACGCGCAGGAAGCTCGTTGAGAATCCCCTTCAGCGCGTCCCAGAACTTCTTGCAGAATTGACTGCAGTCGCACGCCCTCTACCCCCTGGTGATTCCACAGGGGCGTGTGCCACTATGATGGTAACGTCCGAGCTCTCTGACTTTATCCGAACAGCGCTGATGCGTCCAGCAAGGCCACCAGGAAACGTCAATGTACGTCTAACATGCCTGGGCGAAAAAAACTTGACACTCGCGAGCAGCGCTACTCCCGTCGGCCTACCCGCCCTCCCTCCGCTGCGACCCCATCGGAATCGAAGACATCGACCAAGGCGGTCCTGCGCACAAGGAGTATCCGTAGCAACCTGTGTACCTGCTATGCCCACGATACTGAAATTCTTGAACTGGCGTGCTGCATCTGCCCAACGTCCTGCTTGTCGCATCGAAAGTGAGTTCCATGCGCAGCGGCGGATCTGCATGGCCGCCCGAGGCTAACACCCTGGGGGGTGTCGTGGCAGGTCAGGGACATGCCTGGGGGCCCTGGTTGCCCCGCGGAAAAAAGGGTTTGCGCCTCGGGGGCTAGGGAGGAGGAGGAGGAGCAGGAGGAGCTGGATGAGGGGTGAGCAGGATGGGCAGGGAGAGATGCAGGGAGCGAGAGATGGCAGACACATCATCGAAGAGCGCCGCCCAAGAAGCAAGCATGAGGTTCCGGTGGTGGGGAGAGACCAGTAGTTGCAGTGGGCATCGGTGGAGGAGGATGAGCAGCAGCAGCGAGGGGGCTGAGGGCGGGCCTTCGTGGATCGATCTGGCCTGAGAAGTACAGCGGAAGCCCATGCTGAGGAGCACCCTGCTCGCCTCCAGGATGCCCCGGGTTTCTTGGGTTTCGATGGTTGAGCCATGGAAAGAGCGACGCTCCCCTGCCAAACATCAAGGGACGTCCTGGGGTATCAGGGTTGGGTTTCTTGGGGAAGGTTTCTCGTGGATCGGCCCCCACTGTACCTCGCAAAGGTGTGGGGCCGGGCCTTCGGGTCGTGATTCACGCGCTCACGGCGTTGCAGTATTTTTCGCGGCTTCTGACGCCGGAGGGGGGCAGGAACCCAGATATATCCGGCGAGGTGTGTTTCCGCACATTGACCCCGAAGTTCTCGACCCCATCTTGCGGACTCGCATTGTCCGCCTCGGGCTCATAGTAGTTGTAGTCGTAGTAGTAGTCGTAGTCGTAGTCGCAGTAGTAGTAGTCGTAGTCGTAGTCGACGTAGTTGTAGTAGTAGGGCTGGTATGGGTAGTAGTGGTAGTAACAGTGGTATGAATAGTCGTAGTAGTAGTAGTAGTAGTAGTAGTAGTAGTAGTAGTAGTAGTAGTAGTAGTAGTAGTAGTAGTAGTAGCAGTAGTAGTAGTAGTAGTAGTAGTAGTAGTAGTAGTAGTAGTAGTAGTAGTAGTAGTAGTAGTAGTAGTAGTACGTAGTCGTAGTAGTAGTAGTACGTAGTAGTAGTAGTAGTTAGTCAGTAGTAGTAGTAGTAGTAGTAGTAGTAGTAGTAGTCGTAGTCGTAGTAGTAGTAGTAGTCGTAGTAGTAGTCGTAGTACGTAGTAGTCTAGTAGTAGTAGTAGTAGTAGTCCTAGTACTAGTACTAGTACTAGTACTAGTACTAGTAGTAGAAGTAGTAGTAGTAGTAGTAGTAGTGGTAGTCTTGGTCGTAATAGTAGTAGTAGTAGTAGTAGTAGTAGTAGTAGTCGTAGTCGTAGTAGTAGTAGTATCATGAGCCGTAGTAGTCGTAGTAGTAGTCGTAGTAATCGTAGTTGTAGTAGTAGTAGTAGTAGCAGTTGTAGTAGTAGTTCGTAGTAGTCGTAGTAGTAATAGTAGTAGTAGTAGTAGTAGTAGTAGTGTAGTAGTAGTAGTAGGAGTAGTGTAGTAGTAGTAGTAGCAGTAGTAGTAGTAGTAGTAGTAGTAGTAAGTAGTTAGTAGTTAGTAGTTAGTAGTAGTAGTCGTAGTAGTAGTTAGTAGTAGTTAGTAGTAGTAGTAGTAGTAGTAGTAGTAGTAGTAGTAAGTAGTAAGTAGTAAGTAGTAGTAAGTAGTAGTAGTAGTAGTAGAGTAGTAGTAGTAGTAGTAGTAGTAGTAGTAGTAGTAGTAGTAGTAGTAGTAGTAGTAGTAGTAGTAGTAGTAAGTAGTAGTAGTAGTAGTAGTAGTAGTAGTAGTAGTAGTAGTAGTATAGTAGGTATAGTAGTAGTAGTAGTTGTAGGAGGAGTAGTAGTAGTAGTAGTAGTAGTAGTAGTAGTAGGTAGTAGTAGTCGTAGTAGTCGTAGTAGTAGTAGTAGTAGTGTAGTCGTCGTAGTAGTAAGTAGTAGTAGTAGTAGTAGTAGTAGTAATAGTGGTAGTAGTAGTAGGAGGAGGAGGAGCAGTAGTAGTAGTAGTAGTAGTAGTAGTAGTAGTAGTAGTACCAGTACCAGTACCAGTAGTAGTAGTAGTAGTAGTAGTAGTAGTAGTAGTAGTAGTAGTAGTCTTAGTAGCAGTAGTAGTAGTAATAATCAGAGTAGTAGCATCAGCAGGAGCACCAGCAGCAGCAATAGCAGCAGCAGCTGAAGCAGTAGTCGTAGTAGTAGTAGTAGTAGTAGTAGTAGTGGTAGTAGTAGTAGTAGTAGTAGTAGTGGTGGTGGTGGTGGTGGTGGTGGTGGTAGTAGTAGTAGTAGTAGTAGCCATAGTAGTAGTAGTAATAATAATAATAATAAGAGTAGTAGATCAGCAGGAGCACCAGCAGCAGCAACAGCAGCAGCAGCTGAAGCAGTAGTAGTAGTAGTAGTAGAAGAAGAAGAATAAGTAGTTGTCGTAGTCGTAGTACTAGTCGCAGCTCTTGCACGCTTCGTAGCCCCATCGAGAAGTCTTGTGAGGGCCCCAGTGGCTCCGGTCGCATGGCGCCGCTCCGCCCGACTGAGGCCAGTGGGCGCCAAGGGCCAGGCTAACGCTTCAGGGTGCTGGTTGCGTGATCGTTTCACCCGAAGGGGGGGTCTTAATTGCTTCGCAAGGTTAGTCAAACCGCAAGAAGTCGTGCCGCATGCAGCGCGGGGCTTGGATCTCCAGGCGTGAAAACTTAACCACGGAGTCGCAGATTAGCTTGACAGGGGCGAGGACGGACAAATGCTTCGCTCGCTCGGGCGCTTTGTAGAGCCTGCAGTTCTACTACAGTTCTCCTCTGCACCCCTTCACCCCCCCCCGTCCTTGAGCATCCCCCTATTCACTTGCTCAGTTTCCCTTCCTCGTCTTACCTTCTACTGCTCGCCCCCCTCTCTCTCATCCACCTCCCCCGTCCTACGCAGCTTCCAGGTCCGCCAGTGCCCGTCCTCCCGAACTGCCCCCCGGGGTGCCCTTCCGCTGCCAGGCGTTCGTGTACGCGACGGCGTGCGCGATGTACGCACCTCTGCTGGCCCTGGTGCCGCGCAGGGAGGAGGAGGTCGCCGCCGCCAGCGCGCGGCGCGGCTCCCTCTTCGCCCGGACTGCTGCAACCTTTGGGTGCATCCATCGTCAGCGCGTCGCGGCTCCTTCTCCTCGTTGCCAGCGCAAGGGTGCCGATAGTGGAGCCTTCTGTGATCTCGCTATCACACGTGTCTTGATGCTCCAGACACCGAAGCGCAGTTTGCGTGGCATCAGTCGTTCATCCAGGGATCGCAACACAGGGTACCGATTGAAACTTGGCATGGCTGGTGCAAACATCGCATTGAGGCACCTAGGCGCAGAAAGGGCCTGAGCCACCGTCATCGAGGGGGCAAGACGTGACTGAGATGAGTTGACGTCGATCCAAATATCACCGCATCGCGTATCTCACCCATGGTCTTGCGTGGTCATGGAGGCGGGCTCTGGGAGGTCCTCCCCTCCTCGCCTCGCACTGCCCGTGACTACCTCCTCCCCGTTCCCCCCTCCTCCCTCTCCTATTCGCGCCCCCCCCCCAAGGCCGCGGCGGCCGCCGCGGGCAGCGAGTGCGGCCGCGGCGCGGCGGAAGCGGTCGAGGTGACCGAGGGTGGAGCCACGCGGGAGGCGTGCCCGCCCTGCAGATTCTCTCGGATTGCAGGGGAGGGGGGGAGGGGGGGGGAGGGGCAAGCCCCTCCTCCGAGGGGAACGAGGGGGAATGGAAGGTGAAACGCGCTAAAGCACCTGCGCCCAGAGTCGGGCTGTTGGGATTATCTTGCGCAGCTGTGCTCTGGAGCACGGAGCTATTGTTCTCGTCGTTCGTTCTTTCGTCGGCCCGCCCCCCAGGTTCCCTCTTGCCTCTTGCCCCTGTCTCCCCATGATGTCCCCGAGAAAGTCCCAGGATGGCCCCAAGAGGCCTCCTATTCTCACCCTGCCTCTCCAGCCCATAGCCGCTGCCTCGTGCAAGAGCCAGGGCACGCGTGTCGCCCGTACACGTTGTACAAGGCAGAAGACAATCGCGTCTCCTGAAAAGGAGGTCGAGGTCATTGAACGCGCATGGTACTCGTAAAGTCTTAGGCCTCCGGGGACCTCCAAGTACCTCCAAAGACCTCTGGCAGGTTCGCGTGTCGCTGCCGTGGGCATTCTCGGCTTAGCTCCCTTCGGGGGCTTGATTCGAACCCCGGCCCACAGAAAATTAGCCTGGCGAAGGACCCAACCATATGCAGCTGCGAGTACCGCAAGGATACCAGTGTCAAGCTCCCCCCGACCTTCGGTGGAGATCCCTATGGGGCCACGAAACGTGTGAGGGGTGTGCCGAAATGGGTGTTGGGGAGTGCCGAAATGGGTGGTGGGGAGGCATGCGAACGCAGCCACTGGGGCCTTCGGTGGAGCTCCCTATGGGGCCACGAAACGTGTGAGGGGTGTGCCGAAATGGGTGGTGGGGAGGCATGCGAACCCTGCCACTGGGGCCTTCGGTGGAGCTCCCTATGGGGCCACGAAACGTGTGAGGGGTGTGCCGAAATGGTGTGGTGGGAGGCATGCGAACCTTGCCACTGGGGCCTTCGGTGGAGCTCCCTATGGGGCCACGAAACGTGTGAGGGGTGTGCCGAATGGGTGGTGGGGAGGCATGCGAACCCTGCCACTGGGGCCTTCGGTGGAGCTCCCTATGGGGCCACGAAACGTGTGAGGGGTGTGCCGAAATGGGTGGTGGGGAGGCATGCGAACCCTGCCACTGGGGCCTTCGGTGGAGCTCCCTATGGGGCCACGAAGCGTGTGAGGGGTGGGGAGGCATGCGAACCCTGCCACTGGGGCCTTCGGTGGAGCTCCCTATGGGGCCACGAAACGTGTGAGGGGTGTGCCGAAATGGGTGGTGGGAGGCATGCGAACGCAGCCACTGGGGCCTTCGGTGGAGCTCCCTATGGGGCCACGAAACGTGTGAGGGGTGTGCCGAAATGGGTGGGGAGGCATGCGAACGCAGCCACTGGGGCCTTCGGTGGAGCTCCCTATGGGGCCACGAAGCGTGTGAGGGGTGTGCCGAAATGGGTGGGGGGCATGCGAACGCAGCCACTGGGGCCTTCGGTGGAGCTCCCTATGGGGCCACGAAACGTGTGAGGGGTGTGCCGAAATGGGTGGGGGAGCATGCGAACGCAGCCACTGGGGCCTTCGGTGGAGCTCCCTATGGGGCCACGAAACGTGTGAGGGGTGTGCCGAAATGGGTGGTGGGGAGCATGCGAACGCAGCCACTGGGGCCTTCGGTGGAGCTCCCTATGGGGCCACGAAACGTGTGAGGGGTGTGCCGAAATGGGTGGTGGGGAGGCATGCGAACGCAGCCACTGGGGCCTTCGGTGGAGCTCCCTATGGGGCCACGAAACGTGTGAGGGGTGTGCCGAAATGGGTGGTGGGAGGCATGCGAACGCAGCCACTGGGGCCTTCGGTGGAGCTCCCTATGGGCCACGAAACGTGTGAGGGGTGTGCCGAATGGGTGGTGGGGAGGCATGCGAACGCAGCCACTGGGGCCTTCGGTGGAGCTCCTTATGGGGCACGAAACGTGTGATGTGCCGAAATGCCACGAACGCGTGTGTGCCGAGGGGTGGTGGGGAGGCATGCGAACGCAGCCACTGGGGCCTTCGGTGGAGCTGCCTATGGGGCCACGAAACGTGTGAGGGGTGTGCCGAAATGGGTGGTGGGGAGGCATGCGAACGCAGGAGAGAGGAGGGCGAGGAGAAGGAGGAAGAAGGAACGCGGGGACCGTTTCTTCAAAACGAGGACCCAACACCACAGGATGGTTGGGAAAAATATGCGGCGTGGAATCGGTACGAAAGATTGAATTTTGAGTTTTTGGATGGCTTCCGCGACCAGAGGGATCGCTCAAGATTTGTTCGTCCCAGCAGGATCCTGTCATACGTCGACGTCATGGCAAAATAAACAGTGTGCCCTTCTGTCCTCACAATCCATGTCCATGCCTTTTGCGTTTCTGGCGTACGCTGGGAGCCGCACCATGTTGCCCTCGGAAGAGTCTTGTGTCCTCTCGGATGTCCCTTGTATTCGGCCGCCATTGCGGCAGAAATCATCTTGGCGAATGCCTTAGCCATATGCACCCCGTGTGAGGGGGGTGCCGAAATGGGTGTGGGGGGGGGGGCGCATGCGAACTTCGATGGATCTTCCTGTGGATCCACGGATCGTGTGAGCGGTGGACACCGCCATTGGGGCCTTCTGTTGAGCTCCGTACGGGGTCACGAATCGTGCCGAAATTGGTGGCGGGGACGCGCGCGAACACCGCCATTGTGGCCTTCGGTGGAGCTCCGTGTGGGGTCACGAGACGTCTGAGGTGTGTGCCGAAATGGGTGGCGGGGGCGCATGTGGACACCGCCATTGGGTCCCTCGGTGGAGATCCTTATGGGGGCACGAAGCGTGTGAGGGGTGTGCCAAGATGGGTCGCGGGGACGCATGTGGAAACCGCAATTGGCGCCTTCGGTTGAGATCCCTAGAGGGGGCACGGAACGTGTGAAGGGTGTGCAGGAATGGGTGGCGGAGGCGCATGTGGACACCGCCATTGGGGCCTTCTGTTGAGCTCCCCACGGGGCCACGAATCGTGCCGAAGTTGGTGGCGGGGACGCATGTTGACACCGCCGCGTGGGCCTTCGGTGGAGCTCCGTGTGGGGCCACGAGACGTCTGAGGCCTGTGCCGAAACGGGTGGCGGGGGCGCATGTCCCTGTGGGGCAACGAGACGTGTGAGGGGTGTGCCAGTATGTGTGACTGGAACGGAGGGCAGAGGCAGGGATGGGAAGAGGGAGGGACGGGAGGAGGAGGAGGAGGAGGAGGAGGAGGAGGAGGAGGAGGAGGGGGAGGGAGAGAAGCGGAGAGGAGAGGAGAGGGGCGCGGGGCGCTGTATCTTTTCAAAACGAGGACCCAACACTACAGTATGGTTGGGAGTTGACTGGTGCGGAGGGCAGAGCGGGAGGAGCGGAAGGAGAGGAGAGGAGAGGAGAGGAGAGGAGAGGAAAGGAGAGGAGGAGAGGAGAGGGGCGCGGGGCGCTGTCTCTTCAACACGAGGTCCCAACACCACAGGATGGTTGTGGTAAGCCTCTCGTGTCTCCTTGATCCTCCAGCCCTCCTCGTCCTCTCTCCATGCGCCTACTTTGGGCCAGAGGTCTCCCCCAGCGAGGTCGCAGGTTTGTTCACATCCCCGAGTGTGGATAGCGACGATCCGATCCATGTGTTCATGTTTTTAAAAGCGGCTGCGAAGCTGCAAGCCAGGAACCAATGCGCAGGATCGCAATCGTCCCGTTCCGTTCCGTTGCGCCCCCTCCCCCCCCCTCCACTCTCTTCCATCCTCCTCGGGCAGGAGGGCGAGGGGGAGGACCACGGCGACGAGACGACGCGGAGGATGTCCCAATCACGACTTTGCCGTTCTCGTGGGCCCCGCGGGACACTCGTGGTCCCTTCTCCAGCGACCAGAGTTCGACGCGTGCTTGCAGCAAAGATCCCAAGTCGTCCCTCCTCCTCCTCCTCCTGCCCTGTCGCTGGCCCACGGCGCTGTTGGCGCAAGGCCGCACCATGGAGGTAAAGCGCAAGGCCGCACCATGGAGGCAAAAAGGTCCTCTCCGATGGGCCCGCCCTGGGGGTCGTTCCGGCTGGGCAGTCGCTCTCCTTTTGTGTCGTGCGGTCCTCCTCCTCCTCCTCCTCCTCCTCCTCCTCCTCTTTTGGTTAATGTCGATTGAAGCCTCTTGAGGCCTCTCTCAGGGCAGAGCGTGCACATCTCGGGGGGGCATGTGCATGTTTCGCATACAGTTTTCTTTCACACGGGTCTTCAGCTTTGGTATTGTGTTTCCTGCGGCTGATACGCATCTCAGCAGTTGTGTAAGTTTGGAAGTGAATGTGCCAATGTTGTTTCAGGTAATCGCACCGAGTATCTCTACAATGTCAGCCGCGGCATTTGGCCAAAGGTTCTCAGCAACGCAGAACGAGCCAAGAGGTCGAGGCATGAAGCAGCAGCTGGGGAATAGCTGCTTCCAGTGTAAACGACACTGCCGCCATACCCATAGCTCCATAGCTCCTCCTCTTCATCCTCCTCCTCCTCCTCCTCTTCTGCCTACTCCTCGCTTCCTACTCCTCGATCCCTCCTCCTCTTCCTTCTCCTCCTCCTTCATCCTCCTCCTCCACCTCCTGATCATCCTCATCCTCATTCTCCTCCTCCTCGCTTCTGCCTCCTGCTCCTCCTCTTCCGCCTCATTCTCATCCTCCTCGCTTCCGCCTCCTACCTCCTCCTCCTCCTCCTCCTCCTCCTCCTCCTCCTCCTCCTCCTCCTCGTCTTCGTCCTCGCGTCTTCGCATTCTTCGCCTCGGACAACGACGACGGTGATGGCCAGCGGGGGGGGGGCCAGGGGGGTGCCGCCCGTGCCGCAGGCCCCGCTCCTCTCCTCGTGAGGGCTGCGCCCGAGGGCTCCGGCCTCCCCCTCTGGGGAGTCCAGGCCTCCCAGAGGGGGTCCGGGCAGACGGGGTCGGAGGATAACGCCGCATCGCCGACGCATTGGGGATGCGGCTCGAGGCGGAGCCCAGATTTTCCCCACGCCGACGTCGCCGATGCGAGGCCGACGTCGCAGATGTATCGTCGATGTATGGGCGATGCATCGGCGATGCGGGGCGATCCTCCGACACCTTCTACTCCGGCCCCATCTTGGAGGCCTCTAGAGGTGGAGGGTTCGGGCAGGCAGGGCCAGCTGAGAAGTCGGCGGTTCGGGGTGGGTTTCCTGCCTCGCCAGGGGGGGTGGGGCAACGCGTCCTCTGGGAAGTGGGTCCTGAGGTTTCTTATTTCTTGGCGATACGGCGCGGCCAGTCGCAGCATGAAGATAATATCGACCAGGAAGCTGGACCGAGCGCGCTCCACCACTCGCAAAATGCATACCCGCAAACGTCCCACAAAAACATGTATGCCTCTGTGTAATGGGTCGTAAGTCCCCCGTGGTGGACCCAGGCAAGTTGCGAGTAGTTTGTTCGCGAGCAGTCGAACGTGGCTGTCAAGGTTGCAAGGGTAGAACAACCGACGGTTTAAATTATCTGGGCAAGGGACCCAACCAGATGCAATTGTCAGTAGCACAAGGCAGGTGGGAGGAAGGAGGGGAAGCTCCTTATGGGGCCACGGGGCGTGTGAGGGGTTTGCCGACAGGAGCGGGGGGGAGCGTGTGGACACCGCCGCGAGGCTTTCTGTAGAGCTCCCTAGGGGCAGGCCGCGAAACGCGCGAGGGGCGTGCCGAAACGGGTTGGGGGAGACGCATGTGATCACAGCCACTGGGGCCTTTGGTGGAGCCCTCTTTTGGGGCCACGAAATGCTATACTGGGTGGCGCGGAACGAATGTGGTCACAGCCACTGGGGCCTTCGACGAGGCTGCCTATGGGGCCACGAAATGATGTCTTGGGCGGCACGGACGGACGCATGTGGTCACAGCCACAGGGGCCTTCGGCGGAGCCCCCTGTGGGGCCACGAAATGATGTATTGGGTGGCGCGGACGCATGTGTGCACAGCCACGGGGGCATTCGGCGGAGCCCCCTGTGTGGCCGCTAAGCGCTGCACTGGGTGGCGCGGACGCATGTGGTGACAGCCACTGGGGCCTTCGGTGGAGCTCTCTATGGGGCCACGAAAGGCTGCGCTGGTTGGCGCGGACGCACGTGGTCACAGCCATTGGAGCCGTAGGTGCAGTTCCCTCTGTGGTCACGAAGCGGTGCACTGGGTGGCGGGGACGCAAGTGGTCACAACCACTGGGGCATTCGGTGGAGCTCCCCATGGGGCCACGCAGCGCTGCACTGGGTGCGCTGGAATGGTGGAAGGATGGGCGCGGCCTCTTCAAAACGAGGACCCAACACAGGATGGCTGGGACAACAACCTAGGGTGTAAACAGCCCCCGTTGTTTATACCCTCAGTTGTTTGTTTATTTTTTCAAAACTCGCGATTCTGACCTCAAGCTGCCTCGCCCGCGCGCTGCACAACCTGCACGCGGGAGCTCCGCAGCAGTTTCTGGCCAAGGACCCACAGTCCAAAACGCGTCGCAAACAAATAGTAGTTGAGATCGGGAATACACCAAGGTCGGCGGCGAGCCCGGGGTGGAACTGAGAAGGGCGGCGAGCCTCCTCAGAAGGCTCGGAAGTCCCCCAGCCTGTGAGAAGTTTCCAGAGCCTTCCCCGAAGACACAAATTATTGCTCATGAGGCCGGAAGGCTTCTGAGAGTCCCTCACGCCTTCTGGTAAGGCCTTCTCCTTATCACTTCCCCCCCTCGAGGTCCTCGCTCGCCGCCAAAATAGGGCGTTTGCTGCACGTAAGCACACAGACACACATATATATATATATATATATATATATATATATATATATGGTCAGCCCCCCCCAGCACCCCGTGTGCACCCATCGCTCTCTTTCCGTTGCTCCTCCTCCTCCTCCTCCTCCTCCTCCTCATCATCATCCTATTCCTTTCCTCCTCCAAATATGAAAACGAAGAGGAAGAGGATGAGGAGGAGGAGGAGGAGGACCAGGAGGTTGAGGATTAGGATGAGGAGGAAGCCATGCTATTCACATGTTTTTTTTTTTTTTGTTTTTTTGGTCAGGGAAGCCACGAAACCTTGCTATTCACAGTTTTTTTCGGTTTTTTTTGTTTTCAGAAGCTCCACAAACTAGGCCAGGAGGTCTTATGGACGGCTGAAAACCAAAAAAACATGTGAATAGCAGCGTTTGGTGGCCACGATCCCACCAAACGCTGCTATTCACATGTTTTTTTTTTTTTTTTTTTTTTTTTTTTTTTTTTTTTTTTTTTTTTTTTTTTTTTGTTTTTTCGGTCTAGGAAGCCACCAAACGCTGCTATTCACATGTTTTTTTGGTTTTTTGGTTTTCAGAGGCTCCGCAAGCCCCCGCGGTCCCCTTCTGGCCAACCTTGTGGAGCTTCTGAAAACCAAAAAAAACCCAAAAACATGTGAATAGCAAGGTTTCGTGGCTTCCCTGACCAAAAAAACCAAAAAAACCTGTGAATAGCATGGTTTGGTGGGCAGTGGTGCTTTGCAATAGAATTTCTTTGTGCGGCTTTCCAATAGAATCCCTTTGTGGCGCTTTCCAAAGGATTCCTTTTGTGAGGCTTTCCAATAGAATTCCTTCTCCTCCTCCTCCTCCTCCTCCTTCTCCTCCTCCTCCTCCTCCTCCTCCTCCTCTCCTCCTCCTCTCACTCCTCCTCCGTCTGTTCTTCCTCTTCCTGCGCGCAAGTGCGCGCTGGCGAAGCGCGCGATAGCGCCCGCGCGCAGCTGAAGATGATGATGTTCAGCTGACTTCACTACGATCGCAAACAATATGCGGATCCGCGCACATTTCGCCTGGGCATTGCCATATCATTCGCCCGACATATCGCAACGCGGGTGGCATCTATATGAAGAGGGGCAATGTGAACACACCTCTGGTCTCAAGAACTAAGTCGGCCCAAGCGAAATAGACAACAAGCGCAAACGCGCGCCGTACGCCTGGCCACTCTCACTCCGAACGCCAAGCCTGTCGCCACTAGATCACTCCGCCTGGCCACCTGGCTGCTCCTGCGCGCCGATCTCCAAGCGGGCTCGGCTGCGTCAGCGAGAGAGCTCACTGAGCGTGGTCCTTGGCCCACGCGTCGCGGAGCATCTGGCCAGTAGCGAGCCAGAGATCGCTGCCGCGGTTCCAGTACGTCCACTGGAAGGAGCGCACCTTGCATAGGCCAGAGAGCGAGCAGCAACTGCGCATGTCGCGCTGGGCCGCCTCTCCAAACCTCAGCGCATGCCACCCGCCAACCTTTCCCGCGCCGGGCAACACCTCCCACCCCCCTGGGCGGCGTTCAGCTGCACTGAAGATTGAGGAGACAGCGCCTACGCAAACAAACGCGTTGCACGTCGTTCATCTGGCCTGCCTTGTTGCGGAGAAGGACAGACCCCACCGTCTTCGCAATGCCCTTGCCGACCGCCTTGCGCAGGTCGCCCCACGCGCGGTCGATCACCTGGGTGCCGCACTTCACCCACAAGCGCTTCGTCCCGCTGGGCTTGCTCTGGTCAGGGACGTCGTGGTAGCGGATCTTCGTGAATGCCGGCTTCAGCCACACCCACTTCCCGCCAACCCGCACCCTTTTCTTCTTGTGCACGACCCAGTCGTGCAAGACGCCATCGACTTTCATCTTGTAGGACCTCGCCCCGTCCGCGTGGAGGATGACGCGGCGGTGCTTTAGCCACTTGGACGCCATGGGCGCCCAATCCCTCTTCCGAATCGGGCCAGGGCCAGGCGCCCTACGCTTGGCCTTCTGGCTTCAACCTGAAGAGGACCAAGGACCTGGGGTGCCCCCGCTGCGCGATGCCGCCCCACTGCTCCCAGATGATGGGCTTCTGCGTGCGGGGGCCAGCGTTCGGGTCCTCGCCCTTCGCCACGTCGACCTCGTCCGCCTCCACGTCCGCCCACTCGAGCGCGTTGCCGTCCTGGTCATGGCCAAAGGAAATGTTCCTCTCGTGGGAGTTGACGTACTTGGCGCGGGCTGCATACAGCGCAGAGTAAATGCCCTCTGTCATCTTGTGGTTGTACTTCAACAAGAGGCGGGCGGACGTCTGCGAGCACTGGGCCACGGCGCAGAACAGCGCGGCGGCCTGGTCCGCCAAGCGCCCCCCCGACGACCCCGTGCCGCATTTGAAGATAGGGTGGAAGGCGTGCGGCATGAGGAAGCGTCGGCAGCAGTCGCTCGAGCATTTGTGGGTCCACCCGCCCTTCTTCTTGCCATGGTCCTTCAAGGGGCCCAGCTTGCCGAGTTGGCAGTAGGGGCACTTCGCGCCCTTCCACTCAGGCAAGACCTTGTCCTTCTTCAAGCGGTCGATCACCTGCTTGGTCGTCGCGTTCACGAAGTCCTTCAAGCACCGAGCCCATGCTGCCCTGTCGAGGCGCGACCTGGCCGAGGAAGACCCGTGGCGCGTGTATGGGACGTTCTTCGGTTTGCGCAGGAGTGAGCTCTTCTTCGCCTTCTTCATGGGCACGGGCCGCATGGCCATGCGAGCCTTTCCGCGCTTGGCGACTGGCCATGGCTTACCCATGGGCGACGCGCGCGGGGTGGCGGCCGCCTGGCTGCCGACGGGGCTGGCGGGCGGGCTCGGTGGCTTTCTCACACTTGAGCCAAGAACGACAGGGTTCGAACCGACCGAGATGGTGGCAGTGGAAGACGGCAGGTTGAAGACTACACGTGCGATCGCCCACAGAACCCGCTGAGGATGATGCTGTTTCGCACAGTTCACAACCGTCGTAAACAATATGCGTATCCGCGCACATTTCGCATGGGCATTCCTATGTCACTCGCCCAACATATCGCAACGCGGAAGGCATCTACATCTGGAAAGCGAACAAGCATATACATCAATGCATTCATATCAGCTCGCTCCAGCCGTCATAAACAACATGCGTCGCCGCGCACCTTTCGCCTGTGCGTTCCCGCGTCACTTGCCAGGCCAGCTACCGCTGGATCAGTCCGTCTGGTCACCCGGAAGCTGGCTCGCGCCGCCAACGCGCTCCGCCTCGATGTCATCGAGGAGCGTCTCCATTTCGGCATCCAAGTCGACGCCATCGTCGTCCACCACGAGGGTCTCGCCGTGTGCCTGCGCCACAATGGATGCGAAAATCGCCTGCTGCTCCTGGATGTCCACGGGGGAGAGCGGCCCGCCGCAGGCCAGACCCGTCTTCCTGGTCTTCCGCGGCGGAGTTACCAGGTTCTCGTGCGCGCCGTGGTGGGCCTTGGCTAGGCTGCGAAAGATCGCCACCTGCTCCCGATGGTCCTCATCCGAGAGCGCACCGTGGCAGCCGACGATCGGGGGCTGCTTGGCGGGCGCGGGGTCCGCGGGCGCAGCCGCGCCACTCGGCGCCCCCCCGTCGCCGCTCGATCCAGGAGCAGCACCCGCCTGCCACGGCGCCATCATGAGCGTGTCGGCCTCGGCGTTGATGATCTCCTTCACGCGGACGTCCCGCGCGGCCGTCAGCTGTCTGGGGGGCGTCGGCTCGGGCTCCCCCATGCCGCCGCCGAAGCCGAACACGTCCTCCTCGTCCGCGGAGACGGCCCGCGCGTCGGCGCCGCCGCCGCCGCGGTCGGACATCCCGCCGTCGTTGGGCGCGGTCTCCACGCCGCCCGCCACGCCTGCCTCCCGCGGCGCCGCGGCACCGGCTGGGGCGCTGCTCGCGGCGGCGGCGCCATCGGCGCCGTCCCCGCCACCGTCGCCCGCGCCCGCTGCTGCGCGCGACTCGGCCATGAGCTGGAGCACCTCCTTCTTCTCAAAGGCGAGGGGCCTGTCGTACTCCTCCTGGTCGCGGCGCTTCTTGTGCCTGAGGAACCGCATCAAGATCTCGCCCGCCTCGGCCGTGATGTAGCTGCTCATGAGGGGCAACTTCTCAACGACCGAGTCCTTGCCAGCGGGCCTGAAGAAGAACGAGTGCTGCGTGTTCAGGGCGACGTTGCACCGCTTGAGCATGGCCCCTAAGTTGCTCTCGGACATACCCTTAGGGAAGGCGGGCCGAATCATGTCCACCAAGATGGCAGTGGTCCGCTTTGCAGCATCGGGCGACGTCGCCGCGAGCCCCCACTCCTCGCCATTTGGTTCAGCGCTGGCATTGTATTCGTTGTCGCCGCCAAACCTGGGCAAAGACGAAGCGCGGGGCCGACCGACGCGCAGGATTCGCTTCCCTGGGAAAAAGCCAACAACATCTGACAGCCAAACTCGAGAAACCTGGCTGGCCCCGACGCTTCGACTTCGCCAGCCGCCTCGCTTGGCCGCGCACGAACTTCGCGGCACCCCAGCGCACGTAGGTCATGGCCTCAGCCTGCGTGGGGTCGAAGAAGGCCTTGAGGACGCGAGGCCGCTGATCTGCGAGGTCGCCGTCATCGAAGATGCAGGGCGCCCAGGGTTCCCCGACCTCCCCGCGGAAGAAGTCCATCTCTGCGGATACCCGAACAGCAGCCTTGGCACGACCTGGGTGGCGTTCATTAGCGACGTCTGCATTGTGCCTCGCAGTCGCCATGGCACAGATGCACATGAAGGGTGTCTTCCCGAAGCCAGCCTCCCCGATCGTAAGCAGCGTGTTCCCCATCAGCGTCTTCAAGATCCTGTTCGTCATCGGCTGGTACTCCTTGCGGATGTCTGGCTTCAGGAGCGGGTAGTAGTCCTCCTTGGTCGCGAAATGGTCGCGGTCCGCGATGCACTTCATCAAGCTGTTCACGAACTCCCGCTTCATGTTGTAGATGGGGGAGTCAGGGTCCACGTACTGGTGCTCCAACCACAGGACCCTCTGGCCGTCGAAATTTCCGCGGGGGGCCTCCGCCTGCACGAAATCCCACGCTCTGTCGAGGGCGGCCTTCTTCTCCGCGACCTCGCCAGCGTCGATGTCCGCAACTGCCTTAGGCTTCGGCAGCCCCCAATAGCGGAACAACAACCCACCCATCGCCTCCAATACCACCTGCATCGTCCGCACAGTGTTGAAGGTGTCGGGGCGGTAGTCCAAGACGCACGGGTCGCCCTCGACGATCTTCTCGAGGATTGCCGCCATCGGCTCTCCGCCGCCGAGGAACGTGAACACCTTCACCACCAAGTAGCCGTCGTCAGGCATGGACTTGGACACGTGCATGCTCATCACGCAGGGGATCTCGTTCTGGCCAGCATCGGAAATTCCCAATGGCGGGGGCAAGGCGTTGTACCGACCCTCGGCCATGGCCTCTTTGACAACATCCCAGTTGACGCCCGAGAGGTCGCCGCAATTCGCGATGACGTCGATGAAGCCCTTGATGGGGCGCCGCGCGGAATAGCGCCACTGCTTGATGGGGAGGTCCCAGACGACGGCAGCACCAGCCTTGTCAACGTTCCCCACAACGTCGGGCTTCGCAAGGACCTCGAGAACGGGCATGGTCTTCGCCTTGTCCCAGACTGCCACCATCACGTCGTTGGTGTGCCCCTCTTTTCCCATGGACACCCCGAAAGACTTCATGCCGCAGGCGGGCAGGTTGGCGGCCTCCATCGGAAATGCCCTCGGCATCGCGGACGGCGCGGAGGTGCGCGAGGTGGCGAGCGAGCGAGGCGACTGATGTTTGAGCCTAAACGTGCGCGGCATTACTGGCGGGGGGGAAAGCGAGAGGGGGAAGGGGGGCGGCATTCGGGGCGATCGCGAGCAGGGCGAAAAGAGTGGGAAACGCCTGGCCGCCAGAAGAAATGGATTCACAATCGCTTCAAAATCACAGCTTTTCATGCCGAACTCCGAGCAGGTGCGCTTCAAACTTTCATCACATAACCAATATATAAATGTGCGGGGCAAACGCCATGCCCTCACACCCCGCCCGCGCCTCAGAGACGGCGGCGCGCCGACGCGCGCAGGCCGAACGACGGGCCCACGTGCATTCGGTTGGAGGGCTGGTCGCCGTCGGCATCGAACAGCACATCGCGGTGGCGGGGCAACGAGAGCGACGCCATCACCATCCTCTCCATGAACCCCCAGGTTGTCGACCACGGCACCTCCGCCGTATGGGTCCATCCTGGGAAATCGCGGCACGTGAACGTCACAATGCACGTGCGGTCCTCAGTACCCACCGCAGGGCGACATCGCGCATCGCAGACGTGCCAGCCACTATCCGCTGCAGATCGATCGGGCCGATCGCAACGAGCATCGTCGATCTGCAACTGACCGCGTCTGACCGATGTGGCAGATCGCAGACGGGGAAAGATCTCGCGATCGCGGCTGGCGAGGCGAGCGCGCGATCGTCGTGGCCGATGCAAGTGGCCACAACCTCGGCGTACATGTACGGGCGGACGATCACATAATCGAACGCGGGATCGTTCGACTCCCACATTGCCGTGGAAGCCGGGAGCAAAGAACTGGTTGCCGCTGTCCCGCACTTCAATGTTCGCGGGCCACACGCACACGTTGAACCGATCCTGGGGCAAAAGCAAAGGTGCTTCCTCATTGCCGAAATCAGGAGATGGTCGGTGGCGGGAGAGGGGCCATCCAAAAACTTAGTTACCCCCCGCCCTCAAGTCCTCCCCAGCAGCCAAGCGCTGAGCCTGCGTGCGCCCCACCCTGCGCCACGCCGCGTCTGGCGGCAAGACGTGGCCAACGTGGCCAGGCATGGCGCGCGGCACGAAGGCGTACTCGAAAGCCATGGGTAGAAGACTACCGCGGAGAACTTTGAGGGGGTTTGAGCACCCTGCGGAGGCCTGAGCGCTAGCGGCAACGGGA